CCGAACTGGCGCTGTCGACACGGTGGGCAGCTGAAAACCTTGGGCTCCGCTCCGTCCACGACATTCGCCAATGGAAGTTAAGCTGGATCACCATCTGCGCTGATCTTACCGTAGATCGCCGATTGTGGGCAGCGACAATTCGGAATATCCATGAAGCCGGCTTATCCTCTCCCAGGAGCCAGCCGCCGTAAATAAAGTAATTGCTCCTTGCATCCAGACATCGAGAACTATCTTTTCAGATGTTTCATAGGCTCACTACAATTGTGCGTTGTGGACGATAATATACGGGGTAACAATAGTCAATCCGGTGTCATGTACTCATCTTTTCATTTATCAAAGACCCTTGTTAATTCACATTACGTGACTTTGCATGCGCATTCATCAGGTCATTCAACGGCAACAAATCTACTTCGGATGAAACGCACTTCCATGGGTTCCTCAGCCCCGAATCTAGTTTCCTTATGGGTGAGTTGTGTGCCACTTTCTTTCCAATATGTTTTTGTTCACTTTTGCTCAGGATCGTTGTTAATGATTAAACGCTATAAAAATGTAATCAGCGTTCACAATATAAATAAATAAATGTATTTTTACTTCCTTTTTATCAATTGAATATACAAATGTACAGTCAACTTTTAGGGAGGAGGCTGCGGCCATACAAAGGCTCCCTGGGGAAATACAGAAATAGGGAAGACGGGCGGCGGCGGAGTGGTTTAAACCCAGGGTTTCCGGGCCAGCACCGTCCTAAATCTACACTGAACTTTTCTGGACGGGTCAGTTTCAATTGATTAAATCTTCGGACTGAGGTACTCCGCTTCAATGATTATGTCTTAATGACAGAATGACCCAATACAACCTAATAAGTGAGTAACGACGAAGGTGGGAATCGAATTTTAAAGTATTGTTCGTATTATGGTAATGATCACTGGTATATAAACAGGTTTCCATTTTCAACCTGAGAAACATTTTTTTGTTGAATTATAGCGTTTATTATGAATCGTATGTCGATGGAAACCGCGCACGTTCGCGCTCATCTGGAGAATGTTGAGCATTGCGGTTCGTGTGGAATGTTCGTCTGTGCTGGAAGTTACTAGAATTTGGCATTTATTGTTTACCAAACATTGTTCATCGGTCACGGATGTTATTCCATCGAAGCTTGTCTACTCCTCTCTGCCGTGGCAGCTGTTTGTTGTCTGTTTGTCTAATTTTTATGCTTTTGACAACATCACTTATGATGCATAACGCTCTTCACGTTCACGTTTGATTAAATTAGACCGGTTATGGTCTGTGCATCGTTGCAAAACGAAATTACACTTGACATTCCAAACTAGTCTGCACCTGCATCTATTCGCGCTTCTGCGTATTGTCTAACAGTCCCCGTTTTTGGTCATACTGGACACACGTTGCGATCCTCCTTGCGGGCGGTCATCACATAACGACCCACTCCTATTGGTCCGATTTACCCACCAATCATTTGCGTTCAATCCGGATCAGACGTTATCCTTCAGTTTAGTTATACACGGCCTTGTTAATCTTGTTTGTTTGCGCGCGTGTGATTAGCACGCGCATTTGCGAGTCGATGTTCAAGGTGTAGTGTGCTAACTTGACACAGCACATACCACTGGATGATACCGTCATTTATAACTAATCGTAGTGGTCAACTGGATTTGACCTTAGTTGCACGAAGGTTCATTTTCTAACTGAAGGGTTATGCATAGTCTGAGTCGTCCCACACGTCGCGTGGAATGGGAATTCAATACCGTGTTTGTCATGGACCGAGGGCTGGGAAATGTGGATTCTGATTCTTGTTCGTCTTGTGGCTATCCGTCCAGCTTGAGCTCGACGCGATCATCAATCAATTCCAACTTGGATTCGCCCACTCCTACCATGGTGCAATCGCAGAAGTATGCACGCATGTTTTCCTACCCCACTCACTCGGCAGCCTCGCTCATCTCTCCCAATTCCACCTTCGTATCGGCTCGAGCCAGTCCTACTAAAACGATCCTTAGCGCTAGTCCTTCTGCTCCACCGGAATCTGTACACGAGTCCTCCACAGAACGAGGGTGCATTCGCCCCAATTGTCATTCCTACCCACGTCTTCAGGCTCTCGGAGGCCCCGTACGACGTTCTCCGGTGACAAAGTCCACGCCACTTACATCGTGTCCACAGTTTTTCTCCTTACTGCGTCTTGCCCAGCCCAAAACCATGGACCCAAACGTAGAAAAAGGGTCTTCAATCCCTTCACTCGCTGACTCCTGTGATCGTGCGTTGACGAAATTCATGTCATTGTATGCCATTTTGTTACGTCCTTGTGTGTGTCCATCTACTTCTCAATCACCATCCTACCGTTGTCGGAGTTATTCCTGTCCCAATTTGGGTATAATTACTCGATTGAGTGTGCGATCAATTCAGGTGAGGATTAACCGAATTTTGTCAAATTTCTCTAATTAAGAAGCAATCGCTTGTTGAAAGTTTCTTTCAATTCTGGAAATTGTTAACGTTTTTCAAAACACTACTTTTGCTCTACCAGGATTAAGTGATACATTACCCCTTAATTTAGTGGTTACAGTCATCAGTTATCTTTGAGTTTCCTGAGAATGCTATTCCGGACAAGTCAAATTGTATCATAATGTCTCCTGGTGCGTTCCCGAACTTTCCAGTTCCTTCATCAAAGTTACAAGTCATACACTATACGTGTCACCGAAAAAGTGCGTTCACAGGTAATTCTTCCATCGAATACCGTTCACTTCTGGCTAGTGGTTTTTGCTTCATCATTTACAACCGGTAACGGCTCTTAGTACGAAACATATCGTTTTTGTTGTCATACTTGATGATGGTCGGGCAGTGGTCTAGTCGCCGTCACCAGCCTGCTTTGAACCGTATGCTCCGAAGTTCGAAACCTCCCAACGCCAACCAATCTTGATGGTAGGCAGCTTTGTTGTCCCGTTCAATGCAACGCCTGAACTAGCGGGTTCGCCACTCCAAGTCCCTGGGCTTGTGTTACCGGTTTCCATCAAGATATATATATATATATATAAAACGTTGTTTGATGCGCCTGTTTCCTTTTATACTTTCCAATATTTTCTCTGTGTGATATCTTATTTTATCGGTCGTTTAATACACTTTACCTATCGATTGATTTCATTAGCGTGAACCAAGTGCTGTCATGGGAAATTCCATACCGAGTTCGGGCATCGGTTCATGCACTCGGATGTATACGTCTCCTATCGGTGGATCTAATAGCAGTCCAGGCGTGAGCAATGACTCGGGATCTGCTCGGTGCACCTGTTCTTTATCAAATTCACAGTCTGCCGCGATCACCACGACTGCAACCGGCCCGAATCGACCAATTCCTGGTCCCTCCGGTTCTAGATCCGCGGTTGTTGCCCCGCACCAAGCCCTACATGTTTCAACCTCGTTTGCCTGCTCTTCACCTGTCGGTAGCACAGCATCCACCCGTGGTCGTCCGGCCTTCCGCTTTCCGACGCAACGCAGAAGTCTTTTGGCTGGCTCGGGTTCTGCGTGCTGCACAAACAGTTCAGCTACCCACACATGCACATGTTCAGTTGATCGCGGTATTATCAGTGCAGGACACTCCCCTGAACCCGACAGTCCATTATCTGCTGCCTCCGCTACTCAGACAAATCAGTCACCTGCTGAGTTCTGCTTAAGTCAGTCCCATGGTCATGTTGCCGAAGACGTTAGTGTGTCACCAGACGTGTCCCTAGATGAGCTTGCCATTCGCTCCCACACTGGAGTTGCAAGATCCAGCACCGACCAGATCCACCAAAACATACGCCCATTGGACTCTTCCACCATTCTTACTCCTTCTTCGGAATTGCCACCAATGAGACGTCAACTTACAACCCGAAATACTTCCGGACCAGTCACGGTAGCACAAAACACACCTACCAGTTGCGCTAACTGTAAGTCCTTGATCTATCACTGTTAGGTTTTCCCAAGTATTTCGTCAATTGCATATATTGAGAGACTGGCTTAAATAATCTACTTCTTCTGTAGTTTATTTTCTGAAAACAGTTTTCTATACATGAGGGGCTAAGTTTAATTTTCCGAGCTTTACATCTTTTCATCATACAACCGAACCAGTGTGATTTGATGAGCGAAGTCTTTGTAATTTTTTTTTCCATGATAAAAATTTGAATTTGACTTAATCTGTTGGGTTTTTCGTCTCGAGTAGCAAGCTTTTCTGGATAGTTTGTGTGCTAGTGTTACCATGTTCAGCATGCGTTTTGCACCTTCAAAGTGTAAAATGCTACTAGAAGATTGGGTTGATCCAGCGCCCAGTCTCACCGTAGCTGGGGAAGTAGTAGGGGAGGTAGACAAATTTTGCTATCCAGGCAGCTATATTTCACCCGGCGGACGCATCACAGATGAAGTGTCGGTGCGCATACAAAAGACTCGGTTGGCATTTGCCAACTTGAGACATCTGTGACGCCGTCGCGACATCCGGCTGTCTGTGAAGGGTCGAGTGTATGCTGCAGCAGTTCGTCCAGTCCTGCTCTACGGTGCAGAGACTCGGCCACTAAAGGAACAGGATACAAATAGATTGTCGGTGTTCGAACACCGCTGTCTACGTAGCATTGCACGTGTCTGGTGGGGTAACCGGACTAGCAATGCTGAGGTTAGGCGTAGGGTTTTAGGCAGTCGCGGTTGTCCACTAGAGCAAGTGATCGACCTCCATAGATTACGCTGGTTGTGACATGTGCTACGCATGTCACCAGATAGGTTGCCACGGCGAGCGATGTTTGGCGAGGCAGGTAGCGATTGGAAAAAATGAAGGGCGGTCAAGCTAAGGCTTGGCATGAGGGTATGAAAACCCTGACCAGAAGACTGGCTTACAGAGGTCCCGTTAGGCTCCCTGGTTGGAGACCCACAGGTCATGGTCACCGGTTTTTAGAGACACTGAGTGATATGGCTGGGTGTCGCTGACAATGGCGCTCGTGGATCCACTCATTATTCCCCTATTACTGTTCTATGTTAATTCCCCATCTTCCGCTTGAATCTGCTTCCAACATTCTAATCATCATCCTGCTGTTTTATCCAAATGGGCAACCAGAAGACAGCAACCAAAACCAGCGCACGAAAGTGCCTGGTTAATGCTTGTAAAAACTGAAACTGACTCTCGGACGTTTATATATCACCGTTTTCGATATCCGGGGGGCCATGATCTACCTTAGAAAAAAGCACAGAAGGTTACCTTGTCATATAAAAGAATCTTTTGTGCCACATAATCAAGCCACAGCACTCCGCTCAATGTGCGGGAATACTTCCGGAAGAACATTTGTTCATAGCAAGATTCGATTGTGTTTTGACCAGGAATCACCAACAATTAGGTTTCATCTACCCTCTTGCATGGCAACATTAGCAGCCGTATATTGGCTTTTCCTTTTACCAAGTTTCATTTTTAGTTTCGATATCATCAGCAATGCATTCAAACCAATTCCTTTTTAAAAGCGTACCCAATTGGAGTATACTGTCGTAGAGTATTGTGACGGGCTATTATCTTGGATCAACCATTGGTTATTGGTTATCTCTATTTGCGTACAAATGCCTGAAGGTTTCGATTTCGATTATGTGCAGTTTCACAGTCGAATTACCTTCCGAAATGTGTGTATACGCGCGCACCAATTTATCACTATTCGAGCTTTGTGTTTATTTGATAAATGAGAAACGCGATTGTTAACTTAGATTGAATGAATTCATTCTCTGCTGTATCGATTGAGTTCTGATTTCAGTGGTGTCACTGTTCAATTTTATACGCCTTAGTAATACCTTTTTCATCAACACTGCACTCGAATTATGTGTCCGCAGTCACGTGCCGTCCATCACTGTGGAAACCCATCCAAACTTAAGTTGAGCCCAGACCTGTCTATCTTTTCAATTCCCATAACCACGCTTTTTAGAAATTCCTGTTAAATGACATTTGTGAATGTAGAGAGTATACTTATCGAGTTTCAAGAAAGTAAATTATGCCACAGTTATGCAATGGGCGATATATGAATATGTGAGAACCCAGGCCAAAGCGTACAAAGTCCCAGCTGAATCTCTACCGACCGAGGACTGACCGACGCACCGCTGCCCTGTGGGTTACATTGTTCCATAAGGGGGCCAAAGTGGGGACCAAAACAGTCAGCATACATGCAATAACATCACTCTCCTGTGGACAGTGAAAAAGATGATTATGAAATACTATGCAAATAATTATAAAAATAAGTTGCAAAATCTAATCTACGTGATTGATATCTAGACCGTGAGCTTAATCCGTTGAGCAGTTAAGTGTATCCCTTAGTGGCGCTCCGGGTTACGGTATCGCGACTGATGGATGTTAGTAAGAAGTTCCCAGTTATATCATGTTGATTCATCCACTTGTCCTCAAACGCAGTTCAAGCTTGAATGCTTTTCTATTCAGTCTTGTGTGGAGTGTCTACTTCATTATACCAGTCCAGCTTCAATGCTGAATCGAATAGTATCGCACGTCTCCCTGAATAGAAAGTTTTCGCATCAAAACGGTGCCTTTCCAGGCCCTATCGTGACAGCTGTTCCCACTGGTGCCAATCAGTATTTTGGTGACGTTCAAGAAAATGACTACACCGCAACGTTTTCCGTATAATCTTTCGCGAGCTTTTATTAGTCCTCAAATAATGAGATTTGTATCACATGCTGTTCTAAATTGAACCACGTGATGGTGATACAGTAGGGGATCTCACAGGGTGTTATGATCATCATATTCAAAATGAATATCGTTTCTATGCATTTTTCGAATTTTCGTGATCGTACTCGCCTACGGTACCGTGCCTACCAGTTTTGATCGCACATATTGATCAATTGCCGTATGCTCCGAAAATGTAATATGATTTCTTTTTCGTTGGTTTTAGTTTACGACATTTTTGCGTGTATACATACGATTCTGAAAAGATGTTACATTATGGTCCGAAACTGATTTTTTGCTGATTACTGCCGCGATCACACTTCACTCTGATTCATTCCTTTCCATTCCCGTTCATCTATAATGGGAAACTTGAGAGAGGCGTATCGTCGTTCAATCTTTGGTTGCCCTCATAAATCCCACCAGCATCAAACAGTCAATATCGTTGTCTTTAATTCGGTGTTCTTCCCAAATACCTTACTCGTACAAAACAACTAAGCGGTTTGAATGTATAATAATCAGATTCGAACGATAGCGATAGAGAGGAAAGAACAGGGAGTAAATCACCTATGGTAACACGAACGTTTGTGCTACTCATGTCCTCCCGTTCAATTAAACGTTATTCATATTTTCAACTTTCAGTCTCTGCGTTCATGACATGTCCACGTGCAAATATTTTGCCACGATCAAAAACTAAACAGACACTGAATGAAGTGCTTCTACTCTTCATCTAGGTACTTGCGTTCGAATATTTTTCATTTCAAAATGAAGCAGATGCCAAAGTGTTTTTATAGTTCATTGCTCACTGGTGACTACTATACATGCTGCTAAAATAACAACCTTCACACAACCAACCGATTTACTTTTGTATTGTTGTACCACGGTACAGAGAACACACATTCGATGTGGCGTGCGGTAGTGTTGCACTAGAATTTGTAATCATCATTGGTTGGTGCATTTTGTTGATTCTTGGATTGCTTTTCTTAACTTATTCTGGCGTGGATATGCATAAAAGGCAAAGTCACACAGGATATCAAATCGGTACTTTGAAAACATACCTGGAATGTAAAGAAGATATGAGATGACATTCACTTCTCTTAACTTCGTATTCGTCTCGATAGAAGCTCTAAACTCATCAAGTTGTGCCTGAAAAACCTAATTATATCACCTCGACGGGCTTCTCTGTCGGTGGGTTCTAAACTACCGAGTTAGCTTGCGAACTACCAGAACTGTCTGATAACGGCAAAATCATATTTATGGGACATCTTTGGGATGGGGGAACCAATTAAGGTTTCCACTGGTTAGTTTTTAAACCCGTCTCTGTCCCACACCGTGAATGTTTTTCCCCAGATTTTTTTCGGATTCAACTTTTCTAGTCTCATGCCTTAGAGTTCTCAACAATCAGTGTAATAAGAACGTCCTTTTGCTCGGTGAAGTTGCACCAATACTGCAAAACCTACCATAACTTGCCAGCGTGGTATACTCTTTGTTTTACCGAGGTTTTGAACACCCATCCATGGCCTATAGTTATTCACCCGTCATCCGATCTGTGTTGCGCTTTTGTTAATAAACTGGACCATTGTGCCCACCCTGGAATCTTATAACCTCGTTGGAGGTTGACGAATATCAAGTTGGTGCCGTGTGTTTCAAAAGCCAGATTGGCGTTAATCAGAATGAGGCAGCTGTGGCGCCGATTTATTCTCCGAATCTTCTGAAGCATGCGTGTACGGTACACGTGGTACATAGTGAGTTGCTTCGTGAATGGGACAAAGCTGCCATCTGAGAACGATATTCAATGAACTTTTGCGCTGATTTCGTCGAGTACGAATAGTGGCAGTCTATACTTATCAAATTCACCTCAGCTAACCAACGCTGATAGGTAGTACGCAATTGTTCGCATGCCGCCCTTCATAATTGTTTTGCTATTCTTTGAATCAAACTTCTGTAATTGAAACCTCACCCTCTTACAGGTTATATTTACATCGACCATGGTGTATCTTTACTTTTATTTACACCGATTCTGTGTTCATTGCCCATTGTGGTCTTTTAGGTGGACTTCATATTGATCAACCTCGTGATTCGCCTACGGTGGATAAGCGTCATATTGGCCTCAGATTGCGTCCCGAGAATAAGCAGTATGTTAAATGTATATATGACAATAAATGTATCGAATGTCTTGCGAATTCTTTACTATTTCTCAGCATTGTACTGTTTGTTATATGCTGGGGGATAATACCCCATGTTAATAATATACCACTTGATGTCAGTCAGTGTTTCACCTGGCCTTCATGTGTGTGTGTGTGTGTGGAACTGGAGATATGTAAATGTATGACCATCTATCTCACTGTCGTTCTGAACATAGCTAAATTCTGCAGTTGCTTCTCATTTCCTTGCTTCTTTACAATACTCAAAATATTTTCTCGATCCTTTGGAGTCGATCTGCCATTACATGGTATGACCTGCCAATCGCAGATATTTCTTTCCTTGCGTCGTGCATTAGTATTTACAGTGCTGTTATGGAGTACAGCGTTATGAAGTCACTTTGGGTGTCTACTAGGCATAATAACTAAAATCACAATGCACTCAGCGCTGGTAGATTTGTTTCCCCACATCTAAACACTTGCGAGCTGTATGTGGTGGATTCACTTGATCAGCATTGCCATTGGCAACTAATCGCACTCTACCAAAAGGTTGTGAATGATTAACGCATAACAAAAACAAGGGGTTTTCATAATTCCGTTTATCTACATCTATTCCAACGGTGGATTTGTGACTTTAGACGGTAAAATAAATTAATTCAATCCTCATTCCCTCCACTGATCGTTGTGGAAACCAAGGGTGGGAAGCAGCCTGATGGCATTAGGTAGCATGGCTCTCCCTCTTCTTTCATTTGATTCGACCAGTTGATTGGAGGTGAGCAAGATGACAGGAAAACAACACTGGTGGGATTCTTTTGACCTTTCTTCGACGGTTTGGATTTTCCTAGAAGCTCAAAGGTTCCGTCAATTCAGGTAATTATTATCGTCTGCTGTTCCTGTGGTTGCCTCCGCGGATATTCAAGTTGCTGCTCGTTGAAATTCGCGTACAATGCTGTCGTCATTCTCATGCAATTAGAGTGTGCAGTGCCTGGGTGTCTCATCCATGCATCCCACCATGAATTTTCGCAATCAGAGACTTGAGAGGTGAAACATGCGTATGTGCAGCATTCAAAAATCCGTGCAACAAAATGGAGCAACGTGGAAACCAGTTGTACACACAACATTTCCCATCTCTCTTCGTCTTGACTACGTGTACCCCAACTGATACGATAAAAGAAAATGACCGATAAACATTTTCCACAATCAAAGTTTGAGTTTGATTAGGTTACGTCAGTTCCTTTCCGTAAGGTCCATATACGATAATTCGTGTAGTTTATTTCACCGTATTTCGCTGCGCATTTATAATAAGTGGTCTAAAATATGGATATTGGCTAAATCGCTCACGTCAGTGTACAAAAGCGCAGCTTCACATTCGACGCCACCATGGTTTTATACGAGTCCTACATACAAAATGGTCTGAGGTTTCGCATGCAGTTACCAAGCTTCATGCAATCAAGCTCTCAAGCGGTGAACCGTTTGTCGTGTAGCTCTTAAGAGAGAGAAAGAGACAAGATAATTTTCTCCTCAGTTTGAATTTACAAATTGATCGACAAATTCGTTCCCGTCGTTGTCATGTATAGCAGACCTTATCGTGCAATCTGCTCGCACTTGTTTAAGTCGACTGATAACTTTCAACTTCCTATCGTAATATCGATTAATAATTTATTGGATTCCTTCGTCTGTGATTTTATTTCTCTTGTTTGTGTGTAGACCAGTGATCACTGCTGGCAGGGAGGGGATATGTGGCACTTACTGCTTGTACTTCCGTGATCCATCGATCGAACACGGGATGAATGTGCATGCTTTGCCAGTCTATTGGTCTGCTCTTTTTCATCCTTTTCCTGCCTCTGCCTCACACGACTTGACGACAATATTTTCAGCAGCATGGAACCGGGTTGCGAAACCCACTCATCCATTCGAATAGAGGGTGGGCGGGGGAATAAGCAAATTTCATCAGCTGGAACTCACACTGATGGGATGCTTATATCCAGTGAATGTAAAAACGAACTAACGGTTTATCTGGAGACCGTATGCAGTCAGTAATTGGGATAGTGGGTCGTTGTTAGTGTATTTATTTCGTGAGTTTGTGGTGCACATACGCATAGGATTTAACCATGTTTTCCACTAAACTTTACTGAGAACAGAATGCATGAGGTTTTCTTATTCATGGCGTATTGTAACTGCAGATAAGGAATTTACCACAATCCTTTAGGGGGTTGGATCTTTCTGTCTCACTTCCGATTGCTGCATGCAGTCGAAAACTAGCTACTCGTAACTGTGTAGTAATCCGTGCAAACGTGTGTTCTTATTCATGTTGTAATTTAGCATTCCTGTTGTCACACGATTCAACAGTAAGCCTCTGCTTTGCTCGAAGCTGATAGACTCAGATTGTTTCGGTGTTCCCACTGCAAAATAGTTTTAACTTAGGGTTATTATGTGTCAGGTCTAGCATAACGATTCATTTGATTCTCTTGGCTGCATAAACCAGTGCACGTGGTACTCTAATGCGACTTGAGGTGTCGTGCTTACAGATCGTCACCCATGCAAGTCTTTCGCATGTGCTGTAGGATGAACTTCTAAACGGTTTACTTTCGAATTGTATGCCTTGTGTATGGTAATATTTGTGTGGGCGTTTGTGATGCCAGTATACATAGTTTGCTTTGTTTTCTAACGCGGTGGTAACGGATGTTCTGTTTTTATTCAGACTATGTAGTGAGCGCAGTGTGTTTGCTCCAAATCCGACCTAAGGCATATCGTTTCTAAAGAACGTCTGCCACCGGTATTTTCATCTCTGATTGATGCATGAGTAGCAGATAGTGCGCAACGGTGCGTGGGCGGATCTGTAGCAATAAGTCCAACATACCCCCGGGCATGACTGAACACACAGTACTCACATTTCCGAAAACTTTATAGAAAATAAAGGTTGTTTTATCCACCTATGGCAAGTGGCCTGCACCAAACAACCAAGCGCCTCCGCACCTTGGATTCTGGAGCTGTTTATTATTGTTTCCGTTGTGAACCAGTTAGTCTCGTTTTTGTAATTCCCAGTTCACCTCATGTTATCTACGCGGCAACTATTTTTAACACCAGAATGTTAACGCTGTCTCCAAGAACGATGCAAATCACAAAATCTTTGCAGCGATATTACTGTGTAATAAGCAGCCATTTTGGTGCCGTATCCGGATTGACTGCTTTCCACTGATATCCCTCAACTATGGCCTGGTTGCGTACGTGCATAGCAGATGTATGAAGTTTTCAGATCATTTTAGGTCCCCAATGCCACATATTTGTCTCACTTTTTCAACCAATAGATGTAGCAACTCGTTTTTTGTATAGAGTCGAATTTCCTCGCCGCGTTAATAATGACAATAAATGAAGTAATGTCGAGTAATTCCTAAACAAGGGAAATTGATTTTGGTTGTTTGCTGTATAAACTGGTCGGTTAGATGCTTCGTCCTCAGTTCTCTTGTTTTTATTTATTGTATGATCCTACACCTGTGGAAAATTCTCACTTCGTTCCAGTATTCCGGATCCTTTTCTAACCTTGTGGTTAAGTGCGTATAGAAGACAACTGATGAACCCGTTGTTTTCGTTACGTACCCATTTATATAGAATTTACCGACGTGCATGTTTCACATCGTTAAACCCTTTATTCTGGTTCGTGGTGTAATAATCTAAGCACGAATTGATTTATACGCTATGTTCGACCTCAGATAAGCATTCATATTGTGACTATTCGCTTAGGAGTCGTTGATCGATATGCAGTTGTAAGACATTTTCACACTAGTATTTTCGCATAATTCACCTCCCATTTTTGTTTACCCCACATCTTCAGTCTGATCGACAACCGTCGATGGTCACTGGCATCCTTGCCGTCTTCGGGTTATGGAACAAATACGCCGGAGAGTGGAAGTAACATATCTGTACGTCCGTTCTGTGCTGTCTCATCATCTGCTGTTTTTGTTGTGGTACTATTGTACAATCACTGCATTATGTTCGTGTGCTTTTTGATCTGATTTATCTTGAATACTGTAGTCGATAAAGAAATTCTGCCGTTCACTGTTGTTCACTTATGACTGATTAGTTTTATTTGTTTTCAATAACAAGTTCTTTTACACATACTAGTGTTCCCGGGGAGCGATTTTTCCTGTTAGGTTGATACGTTCTATAGATTGCGGTCATTGCGGGTATCAAAATCTGAACCAATGCTCTCGATCACATGGCTGGCATTAGACATCCTGGTTGCTGTTCTTGTGACTAATCTAATGAATGATCTGAGTGATTTGACCGATTTTTTTTTCAACAATGCAGGCCGTGTATTTGTTCATTTTCCGTGGATGCGCAGTTCAATTTTTTAATACATTCCAAACATGGCTTACAGTACTTAGGTAAACCCCATACTCATTGAGCCTACTGTATAATGGGGAGGGAAAACATTCATCCAAAACTCGGCATGTTGATTCTGCGTTTGAGAATAGGGAAATGTTATAATGGGAGAAAATAAAGCCGGGAATGGTCTTCAACAATTCCACATTGTTTAGAGAGAGAGAGAGAGAGTTGGGTTGAACGCCGCAGCGCCATAGAACTTTAAAGTCACCTGTTGAAGATGAATTAACGCCTTTTATAAGGACTGGAAAGTAATTCAAACTAAAAGGACCGAATCGGCAAACCGTGCAGAGCAAAATACTTAGTGGTGACGTTAGCGAAGGAACAATGAGACTATGATACGACATTTGGCAACTGGTTCAAAAGTGCATGTCTAAGACGCGTCTTCGATAAGCCAAATGCCTTATGCAAGGTGATTCACGAAGCCGGGAACACAGCTAAATAAAAATTTCAGCTGCGGTTTCTTATCCAATGAAACTGTCAAATAGCAATGCGTTATAGGAATTCACAGCCTTATTCACACACCTTCCTGAATGATCTGTGCTCCTGGTAAGCAAAACCGATCGCTTTGTCTTCCCGTTAGTGCTCTTGAAAAACATTTCACAGTTGCCGGTTTTGCAAGATAGACTTAACGGACGTTGACAAAACGCATTTGGTTTTGCTCAGTGCATCAGGTTTGAGTTTTCGGGAAACATGCGAAGAATTCAAGCGTCCTAATTCGCCAAAGAGATAGCCGGCCGCTTCAACTGTGAAAAAATGCTAAGAACGTTTTCTTTCAATTTAATCAGATCGGAGTAGAACCAGTGGGTTCAGGAAAAAGCCGGTATTCATGGAGGGGTTGGGAAGTCATGAGGAAATGTTTGTAGCTTTAAACACCCCTCTCCATTCGCAAATTAGCTCGACAGCTCTCGCGTAGCTATTCAACCATACCGCTCATGGTGTCCTGTCTTTCTTTCCACCCCATACCAAGTTTTCCATGAGTATCGATGATATAATGGGATCGGCCGAAAGGTAGAATTTGCTGAGTGGTTTAAGCACACTTTGCTAACACATTCGTCGTTAACCGATGATGTAATTTGTTCTGATGAGGGGTTTTTCTACCTTCCGAGAAGAATTCACAGAGAAAATCAAATTTACTAGGCACAGAGGATCCCACATTTTATATTGGAAACACCACAGCAATAATCCCAAAATTCTTGTGGTACAAAACAGAATGACATAAGAAGCAAGCAATTACAGTGGATTAAGAGAACAAGAATAATTGTGTTCTCACGTTGAACACGGTCCAAAATAACCAAAGAATAGAATGTCTTACCCCAGACATAGTTCCAATATTTTACAGGAGGACGTACTTCGACCTTGTGGAGAGTGAAAAAATGGGGGGAGTGGCGGTTGAAAACACGTTTCTCAAGGAATCTTCCAGAATGCACGTAGTGCAAGTTCAACAATATGAGGAAATCAAGTTACTGAAGCAAACTGCACGTGAAACCGAATAGATAAGAGGCGAACTGCAGATCGGGAGTGCAGGGATATCGTTTGCGGGACTTTAAAACGATTGAACTGGAGTTTCCCAAGCACCAATGACATTCAGGTATGAAATCAGCGAGGTACAACTCATGGTGCGTGGTTATGGAAGCACAGAAACTATCATAAAACTAGCCTTGGGTGTTGAGTTCAGTGATGATGACTTGAGGTACTCAGATATTAAATGAGGTAAACTCCACAACCTCAAAGCAGATATGATTTTTCTGACTTTGACTTTGGTTGATGAATTGCACGTTTTTCTCCAACATATTTATCATAATCTGGTGGCATATATCGAACAGTACTTCCTGTTAGAAGTTCTCCCTTACTCCTACTATTTTTTGTTGCTGCTTTATGTTTCACCATTCCAATTATTATGTGCCTTCATCACCCTTTAGCACAGTCGCTGTTCCTCGCGAGAGAATATGCACGGATTCCAAACGCAGTCTCTTACGGTTACTACCACACAGTCCGTGCACTCACCTTCCTGTGCCGCCCCGGTCGCATTGTGCTCCGTAAGTCCATCTTCTCCCGGAGCCGGTTCACAAACGCGTCAAAGTATGGGCAAGCCTGTTTCGACTCTGGGTCAAGAAGCTGCATCAGCAAGTCGTTCGTCCTCAGTGCGCTCATCTACCGAACAACCTGTACCGTCGTCATGTCCTGTCGGGCACAAGCTTCGTCCGATTGAGGGCAGCTTGAACTTTCAGCGGTGCGCCACTGATGCCACATTGGTTGCGGATGTTAGCGATCGTTCACCCATCCCACGAGTCCCATCACCTCTCTGTTCCGGTCCGACTGTTCCACCTACCCCATTGTTGCCCATCTCGCCATGTCCACTAGGTAGAGCTAAACCCGGAATGGATTCAGTATCATGCATCGGAACCTTTTCCACCACTGTTCCAGGTTCGAAAACACGGTCGCGCAGTTTAAGGTAAGTCATGAAGCAATTATTCTTGTTCCGAATACATGATTTCCATGGTATAAATACATTTATCTTGTTATCCTCACTATCTTATCTTCTCAATCGGTTTGATAAATTGATTGTTTAATTCAGGTGTCAGCCTTTGCCAGCAAACGATGCGCGATTTCGCAGAGAATGGTTCGTTATTGTGCCTATTTCACCAGCTGTTTGATACACAATACCCTCCCCGTCCCGACCGCCCACGCAAACACCGTCGAGAAAATTATCGATTCTATCAATCTTGATTCCAATGTACTTGATAAGCGTAAAGTGATGTATTAGTTTGTATCGTAGATGATACTATGATTAAAAAACGGTTGTATTTGTCAGTGTTGCTCCCAGCTCTCAAGTTGAGACTACTTTATGCGCATGCCACTCTTTATATTATGGTTTTCTCTGGCTCCCGTTTGCATCTATGTTGTGTGCGTTTCGGGTTCTTTAAGTCATTGCATTCGAAACCCTGGCTGCAATACAAACACTGACGGTAACCTGAGCATACGTAAAACAAACAGATGGCAACAAACGAATGACCTAAGAAGGTTTCTAGCCACTGGGATTCTCACAAAGCTTCCCCTCAACTTTCTCCTTGTTAACCAAAATATAAGCTAGTAGGGTACTGGGGAAACACGGTAGTTGTTTGTGCACTAGTGGTTAATTCGGTCTTCTGATCGTATTGGTGGATATGATTAGCACATCTATTGATCATGGTGCAATATACGTATGATGTCCGTGTTACCACGTTTAATCGCCTCTAATAGTGTTTTTCGACTCAATCTCCTTTGCTTAACATTTACCATCGAAATGCGCATTGAGACTGCTCAATCGGTTGTAGTCGTCATCACTGTTGTACATCAATTTATCCTAATCCAGTCGAATTTGTGCTAATTATACCGGCGTGATGGTCTACCTCTTTTTGTGATATGAAGAAAGAAATGGTTCGCGTGAATCCGAACCACGAGGACACTTAGTTTGTTCCTCCGCTATATGTACGGACCAGTTATCATTATCCTGATTCTCATCCGAATGACCTTGATCGTAGCGATGCGTTATTCTCATCCACCTTAAATAGTCTCTAGTTCACACGCTCATTTCTATAAGTGTTACGGTTTGCAAACGTCCGGTTCACATGTATCCACCCACCTACCGATCTATACAGATACTTGAACACATGATATCCATTGTGATCGCACCCGATTCGCTCATGACGATCATCCGTACAGACAGATTGTTTAGCTAAAATTGGTCGGCTATGCGAAATGATTCCTGTCCTGCGACCCCAATATGTCTCATTTGGTGTTTATAAACGGCTGATGTGTAATGTCTATTGTGTCAGAATTTTTCGAAGGTTGCTAACAAGTGATGTTTCATGAGCAATGAGATGTCCTGTGTTTTCTCATTGCGCGTCGTGAAATGCTGACCTGTGAACGGGTTCGGGTGAACAGCATAACCACTTGAGTTCATGGGAATCGACCGAGATTGCCGAGCCGCATAGAGCCTTAATACTAAACGAATCTAGCAAAGTCGTATTGATATTGAAGCCTGGACTGGGAGATTTGCTGCATATTGCCATTTCGAACAGATGCTCTTTTTTCATTTCTGGTTCTGATCCTAATCTAACTATTACCCCATGGTCCCGTTTAACGAATCATCAAAAGAGTCACCTGTCTTGGTTTCAGCACCCTGGCGGTATTCTATATATATATATATATATACCACCGACTTGAAAACAAGTATAATGCCAACGCAACAACAACAATGACAGTGAAGGGGATAGGTGGATTAGGATACAGAACATGGTGAAAAGTGG